TCTCTCTCTCTCTCTCTCCCTCTCTCTCTTTTTTCCCCCCCTCTCCCGTGCTCTCTCGCAATTGCTTTCTGTTGTTTTGTTGCTTTTTGTTTCGCTACTTAGTCGTTCTTCGTGCCTCCTGACGGGTCACTGAATACCCGAACCTGCGACGCTCACAGCCTCACATGCTTAAAACTGTGTATACACCTTCTGCATTGGCCACCCCAACAATTTGTATGCTTACACTAAAAACGCTTTGTAACAACCTCTCTTTGGAACCTCGCCCCTTACCCCATTAGAAACATACCCAATCTGCTTCTTATGTAAGTTACTACCTCACTAGAGCACCATAACTTAAAACCCTCCTTAAACCCTTCACCTCTTAAAACTTGCCGATAAAATAAATTTAAGTTGTTGGATGCCTTGCATGCAGGTACATCGACTGCAGACCATGGAAGACGGAAGACTTGGTTGGAAAACCAACAGAGAAAACAGTAAAATAATAATCGCCTGCCACTACCCAAACCGCTTGATGGACAGAGTAAAATTCAAAAGGATTTTTGAAAAAATCATACAAAAACACAACCCCGATGCACTGCCCCTACTTAACAATCTGACATTCTCTTGGACATACAATGACCATATTTCCAAAACCTTATACAAACTTGCTGCAGTCTTTAGAGACTTCTCACTTATGGATTGGCTGCGCCAAATGCAATACAATTGTTTTTGCCAACATCCCAGATACACCACCCACACTAACCCTGTATGTCCGAAATTGGATTTAACGCGGGTTTCGCGTTGAAAAATTCAACGCCCGTTGAATTCGCGTTAAACTCCCGTTCAAACGTGAGTTGGACGAGAATTAACGGGGTCCGGGATGATTTTTATCGTGGGCTTAACATTATCCAAAAATATATATATATATATGGGGTTGTAGGTTTTGTTGAGGACTACAACCCTATATTTTTATTTTTATTTTTTTATACTTAAATATATATTTTTTTAAATCAAAAACATAAACACACAATGAAAAAACAAAAACGAAAATAAAATAAGTGTTTTTGTTTTGGGTTTCACACATATTTTTTAAGGGCTAAAACGAAAATAAAAAAAATAAATAAAAAATATAGGGTTGTAGATCTTTCAAAGATGTACAACAATTTATTTTTTATTTAATTTTTTTGAAACTTGGTGTATTTAAAAAAAAATCAAAACCATAAAAAGCAAATTGAAAAAAGGAAAAAAAGACACACACACACACAAAATTGGGCCTGTAGCAGGTTGCATGAGTCTGGTGTCAGTTGGTTGAGGGAACCCAGGTCCTGGGCCACCTGTGTGAATGTATGGAAAGCAGGCCCTGGGCTGGATACGGGTACTTGGCCAAACACAGGCCAAAGGCAGTTGGGGGCATGCAACCCCCTCAGGCCCAAGGCCTGTTCTCGTTTTTGCTGTGACTCAGGCTACCGGGGCCTGTTGGAAGTTTATTGGGACTGAACACAGGCAGGCCACTTCGATATAGCAAAGGGCCTGCCTCCACATTGGGCATTCGGGTGCTGGCTGGATGCTGCGTAAGTGCTGCCGCGTTGTAGCTCGTGCTACTCACGCGCTCACGGGCGAGCAGGAAGGAGCAGGCAGCCATAGCCGAGCTGCGCTGCTGTAAGCTGGGTGTGGCGCAGGGTGGTCCTTGGGTGCAAATGGAATCTGTGTGTTGGGGAACAAGGTTGTGAGTAAGGTGAGACACACTCTCATGCGCAGGCACAGACACACTTACACTTACACACACACACACACTTACAAACACACACATACACAAACACACACATATACATACACACACGGACTTACAAACACACACATACACTTACAAGCACAAACACATACACACACTTACAAACACACACATACACAAACACACGCACATACATTCATATTCATGCACAGATACACTCTCACAACAGGCACACACATACACAGATACGCGCACACATAGCACACCTACACACACATAACTGGGGCGTTGGGGGTTGGGGGTTGTGGGGGCGGATGGGAGGTGCTTCAGGGGTTGGGGGGATTTTTTTTTATTTTTAATTTTTTTTAATTTTTTTTTGCCTAGGGCGACGTGTTCCGGACCCCGCGCATCAATTCCGTTTTTCCTAAAAGCGCGGGAGTGGCCCATTTTCGCGTTTAACGCAAATTCAACGAGATTTTTTGGAGTTTAACAGGATTCAACGGGAGTTTAATTCCCCCGTTCTGCATTAAGAAGATACACAGCACTAACCCCCTTCCAGCTGAACTGACCCCTCTGGATGAACCCGCCCACGTTATCACAATGGATTTAAACATTACTTTCAACAAAAACCTCCAAAAACTACTACGCTGTGGACTTAACCACATCCCCCCGCAAACACCAAAACCCGCAGATATCCTAACAGCAGCAAGCCATGGGCGGACCTCAGGACCACTCTTGAAATGAATGAAGTGCCCTTCCCCGACAACGCCCTATACGAAGCAAACAAAGAATTTCTTGACTATATACTCCAGACTACTACTAATTTCACACCACACAACGAAATCAGCCTGCACGAACACGGAATCAGACACGAAATTGAATTCCTCACCAGGCATTTCTACATTAGCGGTGCAGATAAGGCCCCGAATACACCAGTGCTAATATGTATCAACCTCATTAGGTATCTTGCCTTCCGCAGGCTCTCTAGCCCAGATTTTGAACACTGCAATATCACAGCCAACGAACTACTCACATACCTACAAGAAGATCTCACTTCTACATTCCCCGACATACCGCTTGGGAAGAGATCTCTACCTTATCTCTTTGCCACTTACAACAAACACAAAAACTCCTTCAAATGGCTGACTAATGCAGCGGACATTATCTCCTCCCCCCTCGATGACCTTGCAGCTGCAATACTAAAAACACTCATCAGAACAGTGAAAATACACTGCGGAAACATCACACAACAGACCCTCACACACACTGGACTAAAAGTACCCTACTGGTGGCCCATTGACTCAACTGCAGACTACGTCTATAATATACCTGATCACATATTTGTTGTATTCTCTGCAGATATTACCTGGTGTTATGAAACCATACCTACGGACGATAGCCCCGACGGTCTATCCAATGCAATACAGTTCTTCACTAAGCTAACATTCAAACAGGCAAAACAAATACATAGAAAAACAGTACAACTAGCGTTAAAATTTCACTACAAAGGCAACCAGCTTACCCCATACTGTGATTGGTACAACAACCCACCTAATGGATACTTCTCACTAAATGAAAAAATGGTTATTGCAATCAATAACTGGCTGATCGCTAATGCCTATACATCACTTGGCAAAAACATCTGGAAACAAATTCTCGGTATACCTATGGGTGTCAGCTGCTCACCTGTATGGTGTAATATCTACTTCTTCAAATACGAATATGAATTTATGAGAAAGATAACCAACAGGGCTAACAGACACCTACTGCACCTGTTCCAAAACGTGTTCCGCTACTTTGACGACTTCCACATCCTTAATAACCCAAGAATACAAGAATTTTTTAACCCAGGGATCACGAGTCCTCGGAGTAAATACTTTCTCTACCCCCTTCACCTAATCACCCTCAATGAGCAGACCACCGAAAAAATGCAATTCAACGGTGCAACCGTTGGTATCAAATTCAATTTTTTAAATACTACCATTTAGATCACCAACATGCCTTCTGGACAATACAAAACATGCAAATACGATAAAAGAAAAGAATTAAATTTCCCTATTACTAGATTCATCCAAGTCCACTCCAACAGACCAATGCAGCAATCCCCCAACTTAGTAATACCCCAAATCATCACAATCATGATAGTCGAATCCGATGCCAAACATGCAGCGAATGAAATAAAACAGACCCTCAACAACCTTCTACAAAACGGTTTCTCAAAAGCCAGGCTGCTTGGCATCACCAAAAAAGTCTTGCAACATCCTGACCGTTACCAGCCTTTCCGTTGCTGCCCACAGACCACATTACAACATCTTCATAACTACAATGACATATAACTACCCAAGATCGCACTACCTTTTTTCCTCTCTCTATGTGTGTGCGTAAAAGCCAAACATAAACCAAAGGCCTAGTTCGGATGGAGGACCTACCCCGGGTGGGGTAGGGGTAGGTCCTTAATCCTGTATTTAAAACATACATGACCTACCCCACCCGTACCTTCATTACGAGGGAACGGGGAGGGACACACATACACACACACACACACACAC